GGTTCCACTTTTCACGGGCCAAGCCTAGAGCGCCACCAGGATCAATCTCTGACTCTGACCAGGGTGGGGGAGATTAGGCTGAGAGGGGGAAATGCATAGAGCAGTACTCTCGGCAATGGGTGGGCTAGTGCATCCACCCCAAAAGGTGCACTTACATCCGAGAGGGAGAAAAACAGTGGACATTGAGAGTTTTCTTGCGAGGCGAAGAGATCTACAGCTGCCCGGCCGAATCTCTGCCAAATTTGATCCACCACTTGTGCGTGGAGAATCCATTCTCCCCTACGACAGAAGATCCGCCCCCGTGTTCAAAATGCCTGGTACATGTGTCGCTCAAAGGGACAGGACAGGGCTTATCTGTGCAACTGCAGTGAGCACATGCTGCCCTGACGGTTGATGTACGTGTCGGATTTGTCTGTTTTCACCAGGACATGGTGATCTTGGAGAAAGTGCAGAAAATGTTTTAATGCAAGGAATACTGCCCACAGTTTCAATACATTTATGTGAGCCGGAACCACCTTCGGGGCCCCAAACACAGCCCAGCCCGACATGGTCGCCCCCCAACCTACCCTGGCTGACACCACCCCCAGTGCGACACCTGTCATGAGAGCCCTCGGGTCTCTCCGCTGGTGGAGAGCCGCCACATACACGGGTGTTATTTTCACCCTGCAGCTGAGGTGACGGCGTTGACACAGCCGTTAGGCAGCCAGCCAACGTTGAAAATCCCTCATTGTTAGTAGGAGTGGGAATCTCTGGGCACCTCACGATTTGATTACGATTCAGAGGGCTGCGATGTGATTATAAAACGATTATCGATGCATCTTGATGCAGAATTTTTTTCTATACAGTATCTCTGGATAAGCATTAAATTTGCACATTAAAATCCAAAAGAAACGTCTCCTAATTAGCTTAAAAGGACTAGTTTGCATCCCTAATTTACATCATTAACCTCAGCTCCATGGTCCCTCATTTCATTAACAACCAGATGTCAGACTCCTCAGAAAACGCAGGATGTACAGTACAGCTTGTACCTGATGTTCTCAACCCTTGACAAGTAGGTAAGTTAGCAATGACATACAGCTGAGCTAATTAATATTACTTCATTACTTATTTAGCTAACGTTACATAGCAGCCAAAAACGTGTCGCACAGGGGAGATGTTAGCTAGCACTAACCGCCTTCACTGTCCAGCAGCTGGGCAAACAACAACAACAACTTTTATTAACGGAAACACTGTGACCTACACTGCACGTTTACCACCAGACAAACTTACGGCTAATATTTTTCCGCTAACTTTCACCGTCATGTTCAGCCGCTCGCTCTCTCGCTTACCCACACACTCAGGAGAGCTCGCCAGACGTTAAGAATCATCATGCTCGTACAGTGTGTGACTTAAAATCATTACTTGCGCATTGATATTAATGATTGTGTTTAGACATTTAGTAAAATCATAAATCATCTTGGAAGCGCATAGATTTCCTCAGCACCTCCACTTGCACTCTCTCTCTCTCTCTATCTCTCAAACACACACAAACACATTGAAACTGAACCATCTGAAAATCCAATGTTTTCCAGTTAGAGAAGTTAATCTCTTTATTTTATTAACACAACGCTGTCAGTGTCAGAGACCAACCTTCAAATAAGTTACAAGCAAGCATGTAAGCAGCCTAGCTAATAAGGATAGCTATGTTAACATTAGAATACAGCTGGGTTGCCACATGCACGGCGTAGGTACCAGATGTGCTCGGGTGGTCAGATATGCTCAGGGGCCTGCGCCTGTCAATAACGTCACATAACGTGATGACGTAACAGATTGCGATTGGCTGTACGTACTTTCGGATATAGTATTAACGGGTCCTCGGATCAACTATGGAGACCCCAGAGCTGTTAAATAATTTATTAAAAATTAAGAGCCGTTAATCTTATTTAACGGCTCTAGGAGAACTTATACAATGAAATACAGCTGTACTAAATGGGACCTAACACAGCCTGGCAATAGCTGTGTATTAATGTTACAAGGCTAATGTTAGCTGCCGATCAAGTTAAGCTAACAGTAGCTTACTTAAGCTACTCACACAAACTACATATGGCGCCTGTTATAAATGTAGGTATCAGATCTGCTCGGGATCTTTATTGAATATTTATGCTTTTATTTCATATTTACTTTGGCGTACGCACCCACGTGTGCTTAACTGGATCTGCAGCTAACATTAGCGTCGTAACATTAATTCACCGAAAACTAGTTTCCGTAAACAATACCACATACAGCCAATCACCATCTGCCACGTCATCATACAAACGTACAGCCAATCACATTATGTGATGTTTCCAACAGGCACAGGCCCCCGAGCAGATCTGAGCACCTGAGCACATCTGGTACCTACAGCGGTGCCACAGTTACACGGTTCTGTGGGAAACCCTGTACTGTGCATTAACAGATGTTTCTGGTGGTTTCTCTTCAAGCTAATAAGCCTATTTCTTCTATGCTGGCATTTCACTGACATGCAGCAACGTGACACCACCCCCTGGCAATCAGGTCACCAATTGGTGATCTCAAGTAGCCATGATCAGACGATATGAAAATAGAGAAGATTACCCAAGCCTACAGCCTCTGATTTTCGTCCCCCTGAACACATGGGGAGAGAAGGACGCCTGGAGAACTGGAAACTGCCAGGGCCTCTGAACAATATACTGTGGAGTTCTGCAACACTTCCCTTTCCCTCCCTTTTTTTTCTGGGAGCGGGGAAGAGAGAAGCTTGGAGTGTTGGGTCGCAGGCTTCTACTTCCCCTCCCCAGGGTGGGAAGGGCGGTTCCCAGCCACCACAGCCACAAAGGAGTGTTTTCCCCATGGCCTTGGGTTTTCTGACCGAGGCTGCTGTTTAGCCTGTTGACTGCATGCCTGTGTCTGAGGCTTGGCAGCCCTTTGTCTCCCTTTAACCGCTGCTGCTGCTGTAGCTACAGCAAAGCCTGCCCTTGGTGCTTGCGGGTGTAAGGGATGAGTTTCCGGGACAGGCAGAGGTCAAAAGCTTCAAAAAAGCGACCAAAAAGCGACCAAAAAGACCCTTGGCCATGGCCCCCTGAGAGGTTCAGCCACAAATCCCTCTCACCCGCGACAACAAGCCCCATCACTCGGCCTCAGCCTTGGACTGCTTCGCATGAGGAGCACAGGATGAGGTCGTTCATCAGCTGGCACGAGTTGTTTAGATGGTGGATGGGCTGGTGGGAGCCTCTTACTGTCATATAGGACTCTCACCATTGCCTCGGCATCCTGGGCTGCAGGCCACATTATCCCCAATTTCGATGCAGCCCGTTTGCAGACCTCGTATAAGTTGCTGTCCACGGGGGACACAGCTTGGATGCACTTGGGTCTGGACTGTTGAGCGGGGAACGTGGAGTCATCCTCCTCGTTCTCCATCTCGTCCATGTCGAGGATGTCAGACTGCATCCTCACAGCCCGGTTCCACTTCCACCTCAGCCTCCATCATGTCTGCACAGCTCGTGGTGGCTTTTGGCCAAAGAGAGTTGGTTGTGGCTTTCGGGGGCTGTCAACAGGCATGGGTCCTGGCTGTTAGCCACCGCAACTGCAGGCTATGCACATGAAATGAGGGGCCCTGCCCGAGATGGACGCCATGATGCTGGGCACAGGCGGGATGCAGCCTCTTTGGCCTTTGGTTCAGACCCTTTGGTGGGGGCAGCAGCCGAGGACATGGCACTGGAAAAGAACACCACAGCCTGATGAGTAGCTGTAGCTTTACTAGGCGTGCCGCTACTCGTAAGCCTATCTGCTCAGGTAAGCTAGCACAAGGGGTTTTAGCCAGAGCTAAGTAGGTAACATAGGAGACCGATCGTCATGACATGTTAGCCCTGCTCCGGGTAACGTTACACTGCCCAGTTAACAAATTAATGTTAACTAAAACCTATTTGACTTTCCGTAACGCGTTCGTAAGTTACAGGGTGGCCAGAGAAGTGGTTTGCCTTGACGCGGACACTGCTCTGAAATTATGCCATGTAACAGCAGAATATACTTCTTACGAAGGACTTAATCAGCAAATCCAGACTTGCCCTGAACTGCGTTTGATGACGTCGGCCTTAACGGATCGTCTCTGAACAGTTTAGCAGCTAACCAGCTTTGTATAGTTTCTTCATACAAAGAAGGCGAGAATGAGCTGGGAGGGGTTGGTTGGCTGTGGTAGCTCACACAGCTCGACCTGTCTGTCACTGACAGACATGGTGTCATCGGAGCTTCCATAGTAGGTCACGCTGAGGCATTTCCCATAGTGAAACACCAAACGGCGTGAGAAAAAGAAATACACAAAATATACAAAAGAAATAAGGGTCACTAGGGGGTTGTTGAAGAGAACTTAGAGAATGTTCTAGCCAGGCACTTTGGTCCCCAGGGCTCAGTCGCCAAAGAAGAGGGCGAGTGTTAAAATGCAGGGCATGCGTCAAAGAGTGGACGAACGTGAAAGAGCCTCTCATTCTCTCCAAACTGCCAGACAGGCCACGGCAGATGCTAGCAACACAAACAACCTGCTCGTAGTGGACAATTTCTCTAGATACATAGAGGTTACCCAGCTGAGCCCGATAAGGTGCACTGATGCTGTAGTACACCTGAAGTCAATGTTTGTGAGATATGGCATTCCAGAGATATGAGCTAGCCCCAATCACAAAGCAGTGGTGAGGCCAAACAAGCTGTGAAACAAACAGTGAAAAGCTTGTTGAAAAAGGCAAACGAAGCGTACAGAGCTATGCCACTGAGCAATGACTACAGCCCGGCCTAGTTGCTCATGGGCGCCTCCTGCATACAACCCTGTCAACCTTGCGATGTTGGAACCAGACATCACGGACCTGTGGAGATTTCAGACAAGGAAAGAGAGAGGAGGTGGATGGACAGGAGCAACTACGACCAAGATAACAGAAACGGGGACATGTACACATGCTATGCCGAGATACAGCCAGCTCCACCAGCTACAGACAGCTGCTTTGAGACACAACAAGCATGTACTACTGCAGTGAACGGTTCTGGCCCAGATCTGGCAGAGAAGCCAATATCAAATTGACTATACACACTGTGGGGAAAAAAAGGAGAAAACAAATGTCACTCGTAAGAGTAATGACAAGTCTCAGATTTATGTTACTGATGACAGGTGACACTATATACTTGTGAATTTCACCAAAACATCTTTTTTATTTAATGTTAAATCCTTATGTTTGGGACTGTAATCAATTGCATGTGTGTTTTATTTGGTGCGTGTGTGTGGACGTGACCGCCGTGGTGACATGGTTGCCGTGGTGACATGGGTGAGAGTGCAAACACTCTCACCCATGTCATGTCTGTCATGTCTGTTATGACTAGAGGTAAGCTGCCGTTGAACTTCTATATATATATCTATATATATATATATATATATATATATATACTTACACATATAAAAGTTGATATTTGTAAATTTGGCGTGACTAAACTGTTGTATGTTGTTGTATGTTATGTCCGACTCGCCTTGTGTGAGTCTTAATGTTATTTGCTAACCAAAGTTTTTTTTATTAATTAATTCACAAACCTAAAGGCTTACGTTAGCATGCTAGGCAGTCACAGTACAGAGTGGAGGACACTGTGTATTCTTCTAACGGCTAACGGCTGAATTACTGAAAAGTTAAGACTGTGCCTGTGTGTTTAATGCCAGAACACGACACAGACTCATCGGCAGACACATACACAAACACACATGATTGGGTCATTGAATACCATATCATATAGAGGTGAAATACTGTGAAATGTCTTGGTTGCAGTACACTTATATGTGAAAATGGTTTAAGGTAAGAAGTTCACATTAATGAAAAATTACGTGTGACATTCTACGCAACAGCAAGCAGAGTTCAGATGCATGCTCAGGGTTACCAAGCTGAAGAGCAGTCATGATTAAGCTACTGCCTGAATGTAGATAGTGTATTGCTCAGTAAAAGTTATAAAATGTGCCTATAAAATGTCTTTACCTGCTCTCGACTCCCTGGGGAAATTCTGAGTCTAGACTTCCTAAAAATAATACTAACAACATAATAGTTAGTATACTCTTCCATAAGTGCAACACTTTTGCATTGTGAAGGGTAATTAACATTGCAGTGAAACTTCAGAGTCCAGCATATTTAACACAAAAATGCACAAAAGTCTGCCTTTGTGGTCAACCATTACCCCCCTAAAATCTAGATTTCTTCTCTCACCTGTGTCAGTGTGGCAGAATTCAGGGGTAAAGGAGATGTCATCAATGGCGACGTATCCACCTCTGGCACTGTTAAAAGCTACCTCAAATACCACCTGGTAACACATACAGACATAAACAGCAACCATTAACAGATGGGTAATGAGCAATGTATGACTTAGACCTATTAATCCTGAGAACATGCTCTATAAATTGTCAAAGATATGTTGTGAAAGTTTGACATATACTTATAGATGAGACATCCGTAGAAGCCAGACAGTGACATCAGTATAGGATAAATTCAGGAACATGGGTCAGTAGCTGCTTGATGGAAACAGTCTGTGCAACTCTTGGCTCAACTGGACAGAGGAACTGACCCAGTTAGTAATGTTACGTAAGCTTCTTTCTACAGCAACAGCAGGCTGTAAAAAGTGTTTTGGCAGAAAGCATAAGGAAAGGAAACCATGAGAAGCATACACCATTGAAAGAGCAATGGAAAGCCGCAGAGGAGTGAGTGTGTCTGTCTATTCAGCTGCATACACAACAATAAGAAAGAGGCGGACCATACTGTATATAGACATGTCTGAAAAGCACAGTGGACTAATAACACAAAACACTTGAAATAAGTTCATTACAAAGGAAATGAGCAGTTATTTGTCATGCTCAACAATTATATATGCTCAACAAATATATATATATATATATATGTATATGGTAGTGTTGTAGTCAAGACCGCACAAACCGAGACCAAGTCAAGACCAAGACCAGAGTTTATCGAGACCGAGACAAGACCAAGACTTTTAGGGGCTGAGAGCAGTCAAGACCGAGACTGAGGGAGGGCGAGACCGAGTCAAGACCAAGACCAGTTCCCTGCATTGCATAGCACGCAATAAAATGTGGAACGAGATCATAGGTACTTCTCAAATTGATCTGAAAGATCCACAGTCATTTTCTGGATTTCATGTTGATACTTTTGCATCAAAGTTGCATTATATAGTTTGCTGTTCAGCGTTTGTTAGGTATGATAAAATCCAAATCAAACATGGTGTGAAGTGATTTATCTATGTTCCAACTGTAATGGTAGTATTGCAGGAAATATATTTTTGGCTACAATACTTGAAGTGTGAAAAAATGATTCCAGCACAGCCTAACTTTGACCTACTGTACTTACTGTAGTTGTGTCCTCTCACAGTTTCCCTGTACAATGAGGAATTACTTTCAACATATTAACTATGCTCACTTTCAGTTTGACCATCAGATAATCTGGATAAACTGTTCTGTCTGACTGCTTGTTTCCATTGCATTTGATGACTTGATATCACTGTGTTTCAAGAGGTCAGCTATAAACTTGGTTAGTTCATTGTTTTCATGACTGCCTGAGATGATCGACAGAGTTACAAAAATAGGACCCAAACTGTAATAAACTGGAAAACCCATGCAGGCATTTTCTAGAGCAGACGAGACAGCCCATGTGACTTCCTGTATGGGATTTCCTTTCTTTTTATAGGAGTGAGGCCAGACCTCACTAATTATCACCCGCTGCTCCATAGCTTTATAGTTGATTCAGTCACTCTGGCTCTCTCTCCCTGGGCATATGGTTTGTTGTTTGGGTTAGGTTTTCCTTGTCTTTAGTTTCTTTGTTCATTACACTTCAGTGTACAAACACGCAGATGTGATGGAAGCCGGCAAGGCTGTGCAGTGAGTAAACTTCACTCCTCGACACCCTAAGAGACGCTCTGGCGACCGACGCCAGGGCGCATGGGTTTTAACCTCTCCTAGTCTGCCTCCCATACCCGAGGTCGCCGGTTAGAGTCAGGACCGTGCAGTACGTTCTCGGGGGCAGACGGTTACACAGACACTCAACAACACACTACTGATGTTACTGATTTACATACTTTAAATCTTCATCTGTTAATTTATACTTTGTTAAAAAAATCTTTAGTTACAAGTTACGAGGTGTCCTCTCCCTTTTGTCCTCCCTTTGAGCCGGGCTGTGACACAGACCACAGGTTTTTTTAAATCCATGTGTGTTTTCATATATTTCATCTCATGACGTTGACCTACTTGCTATTAGTGTGCATTCTAGCTCCAGTACTGACCTCAAGGGGGTGTGGGGCCTTTATGTCAATGCCGACCAGAGTCCAGGCGGTGGTAACATACACCTCTGGCCTCCAGATCTCCTCAAAGTGGCCCAGCTGGTCTTTGGTGAAAACTGAAAAGATGTTTCCCCTCTCCTGGTCTCGGTGGTAGTAGAAGGACAGGCAGCCGGCCATGGGCACCGTAGTCATGGGTGAGGTCAGCTTGGCCACTTCCTGGAAGTGCTTGGCGTACACAGAGTCCACATACATGTAGTGGCCTGAAGCAGCAGAAGATATAGATGAGCTCACACTACACATTATGCGCTGATACAGTCACATTTATAGAAAATGTGTGGTTTTACAAGTTGTCATAAGACAAATGACAAGATGACTCATTTGCAGTAATTCACACAGACCTCCATCAGTGTTTGAAGACTAAACAATTTTATTGACAGACTGTAATGAGCATTGACGATATTATTATTATATTATTACATAAAGCAGTAATGGATAACCACAAGTCCCAACCTGTAAGTCTTCATTCTAACCAAACAACACAGCAGCTTTTCTCCAGCCAGCACTCCTCCCTGATTACTGATTCTGCCTCCAAAACCATTAATCCATGTAAACAGACTGTCAAACTATAGAGCACTGCTCTCTGCAACTTTATGTGCAGCCGGATCCTGGATGTTTAAAACTGATAGACCATGAGCTGTGGGAAAAGTTTATTTAAATGCAGCACAAGGTCTTTACAGACTAATAAAGGTAAGAAAGAAACAAGAACAGAACAATAATTAACTGATGACAACACTAGGTTTGATAAGAAATGAACATGAGGCATGTTACAGAGAAGTGCTCATTAACAACACAAAACAAAACAAAAAAGCTGGAAGCTGTGGAGAACTTGAGATAAAGCATCATCATCAGACTTCTGCAAGAATGTTTTTGTACTTTTATCTTAAACATCTCCAAGTGACAAACTCAAATTCGTACACAAGGCTACACTCCCTGTTCCACTCCATTTTTAGGTATCATTCTACCTAAAAATTTACCAAAGAGTAATAAAAAAGTCCTGGTGTCAGCAGGCAGAAACAAAACCAATGTAAGTAGTGAAATTAGGGGATAAAATAAAAAACAAATATTACTACAGCTGTCTTTATAATATTATAATATTCTGTATTCTGAGAGAGAGAGAGAGAGAGAGAGAGAGCATTGCTCACAGCTTCAGGGCTTGTCAGCAACTACTAATTTGTCCCGAGCAAAATTGTAATCAAAACATTTAAATATAAATGTTGTCGGTCAGCGTCTAGTCAATGTACTTGCTACACAAATGGTTAACAGTCGCCGCAAAGTAGTGAGAGAATAACATGACACACCTGACCGCGACACAGACACCTGTCGCTCTCTCTGCTGTCTCTGTCCCCCTCCCTCAGAGACACTTCGCTCTGTTTGACTGTCTCTCTGCTCCAGGATGCTTAATTCCCTCTGAAGCGGCTGTGAGCTGCACTTTATCAGAGGTGCTGAAGTGAACATGTGTGTGGATGTGTGGTAATATTTCTGTCTGATCACAAGTGTTTTCAGTTTTGGTTTTCTACCTCTGATGAAGAGCAGTGAGCTCTTCTCATCCAGTCCAGTCCCAGACAGGTATTCTGTCTGTCGGACGGTCTAAAGGGGGTAGCAGCCTACTACCATTTCAGCAGAGCACTAAGGCAGGGTAATGCACAGCAGTGGGGCAGGTAGATTTTGTTAAAATATAATGACTTCATTCTCATTATATCTCGTAATATTATATCTCAACTTGTTATTCTGCAAATGTCAGAGAACACAGATATGTGGGAGAGATTTTTAATGTGCAGAAAGTTCTGAACATTGAGCAGAAAAGCTGCTGAAACACAGGAGCTATTAAGGTGCAGGGGATATTAACTGAATTAAATGAATGGGGGAAAAAACAGGAGAAACATATTTGACAGCAATACAGAATGCCTGAGAGCCTTTCCTTTTATATAAATAAAGACATTTCCTCAATGAATTGGTGCAGAACAATTCACCAGAATGCAGGAAATGAAGTGTTTAAAGCCCAAATGTTTCAGGGGGAGGATCCCCAGACTTTTTTTAAATTATTATCAGTAGTAATTATAAAAATCATAATAAATGTATTTATTTATTATGATATTTAATAACTAAAGTGTAGCTCAGTGATTTATAGGGTTCAGTTTGACAAATGGAACAACAATGTAGCAGTTTTTGAGGGTTGATACAAGTATGTCTCCAGAATGCAGGAAATTAAGTGTTTAATGTTTAAAATCTTTTGTGGGGGTACCTCCAGACCCCCCTATCAACTATTTTGTCAATAAAAATTTTTCCCAAATACAAAGCCTATTAAAATATATTGTCTTGTTGTCATGGCCCCACTATTGTGCAGTGTCAAGTCTCATGGGCTAAGAGTTTTGTCAAACCCCTAATCTAAGCCCTTAAAAGCAAGGATGGTGTATTGGTGAGGGACGTCCGACCGATTTTGGTGGGCCGCCTGGGCCAAAAATGCCAGGGCCGATTTTTTGTCCCAGTCCAGATGGTGGAGAAGTGGTTTAAGCTACGGTAATAATTAGAAAAGTTTCTATGGACATTTTGTTAGTTTGTAATCACATTGGTCTGCTGCTGAAATCCATTGTCACTGCTGAGAATCCAAATTGCCTTATATTGCTAATGTACAGTCTTCACCTGCTCGATATGAAATGTGCAATGAGATAATGTTTGTTATGAATTGGTCATATATAAATCAAATAAATTAATTCATACATTGCCAAGCAGAAGCAAAGTGTATATTTGATACATATTAGAGATAGAGTATTGTCCTAGTTTAAATTCAGTCTGTAATGACTGAGTTTATTTCACCATGGCTTTTATTGTATTCTGTTTGATAACTACCTCATATGTTTCATTCCCTTTGGGATTAATATAGTATACACTAACTATCTACAGAATGTACCTATCTATCTTACCATTCTCTGTAAAGGAGCACGGCAAAGACACCTTTTCAAAGCCACCTTTCAAGACAGGAGTGGGCATCATCTAATACTCTAAACATGGTGGTGTATTCCTTCAAGGACAGCTTTGCTATCATCAGGCACACTTTAATCCAATAACTCTTTGCCTTAAATTTCTGAAGTTATGGATGCAGGTTATGAATGTGTATGTGGGGTGTGTAAATGTGTATAATGTGATTAAATGTGTATAAAGTGATTTTTATGTAACACAGTGTAGCAATGAACAAGTATTTCATTGTTTCTTGTACTTGACTTTTAAACGACTAACTCTTCGACTTACAAATCTATCTGTTGACATGAGCTGCCGCGATAAAACCTGCACATGCACAGCTCTGGATGTAAACTCAGGAGGTCAGACAGGCTGTGTGAATGTGTGTGTGTGTGTGTGTGTGTGTGTGTGCGTGCGTGTGTGCGTGCGCACATATACCTCTCTGGTTATTGTTGGTGTGGTTTCCAAGCAGGTTAGACTCAGGCTCTCTAGCCACACTTCCCCCAACATACCAGTTGACATTTGGGTTCCAGCTGTTACTGTAGCCACACAGGTGATGCTCCTCAAAATTACACTCTAGTAACAAGAACAGCAAATGTTACATTTTTGGAATGAATAAAAACACTTTCACATCAAACTTTACATCAAAGGTGAAACATCTCACTTGCTATAATGTTGACACTGACCAATGCAGTAACCAGTAACAATGTGAATTTCAAAGATGGCCACGCTGTTCCCTGAGCCGTGTTCAGGTCGACCTTCCAGCAAAACCTGTGTAAGAAAAAAAGACTTAACAAAGTGGGACAGAAGGCAGCCAACATTACAATATCTCCCATTTGCTTTATACTACATCAGATTAATCTAATCTAAAAGTAGTCATCTGCACACATTATTCACCACCACATTGTGCATAAGAATGTTATTTTGGCCACTTTTCTCTCATTAAGTTAAATCAAGTGACTGTTAGCAACTTTAGTTATATAGCAAAATTTAATATATCACAAGTGGCCTCAACTGTTTTCAAGGCAAGATGAAAAATCAGCTGTGCAAGAACAAGCAGCACAGATATAGAACACACAAGGGACAGTTGTGTATCTGGAGGATGGATCCTGACAGACTTCCATAAATGTAGGCAGTAATTAAATAATACAATGAGACATAGATGTATATATCTTTTTTAATTAGCTTCTTTATTTAGTTGGCCGCAATCAACTTGCAGATTTATCTGCATCAGCGTTTATAACAGCGGATACAGTGGGAGGAAGATAATTGTCCTTGCCACAAAACATTGCAGGAACACCTCGAGAGGTAGGATTCGAACCACAGGAGTGCTTTACTCGAGATGCCCATTGCATCAAGCAGGATAAGAACCGAGGATTGGGCTGCAGCTTTAGCTGACCTTAGGGCTTCTGTTACAGACAACAGAGCCATTTCAGTAGTGTGGGCACTCTTAAAACCAGACTGATATGGATCTAGGACGTCATTCCGTGAGAGGAATTATGAGACCTGTTTGAAGACTGCCCGTTCGATAGTTTTGGATAAAAATGGTAGAAGTGAAACTGGATGATTGGACTCGACTTGAGTTGGGTCATGCGAGGGCTTTTTGAACAAGGGTGTAACCCGAGCCCTTCTGAAAGTGGTCGGGAAGGTTCCCGAAGCCAGAGAAGTATTTATCACGAATGATTGCCGGGACCACGGTAGGAGATATGGCTTGGAGGACATTGGTAGGAATCGGGTCCAGTGGGCATGTAGTAGGACGGCTATGGGTCAGGAGTTCTGATACTTCACTTTTCATGAGAGGAGTTAACGAGGAGAGTGAAGTGCCATTGTCCTGCGAAGACAGAGAGGTGTCGAGCCTTTTGCATCATTTATTTATAAGGAGGGCAACACTCCAGTCCAGCAGGTGGCGGTAATGCGCTTAAAACGGTTTCTTTCTTTATGAATGCTTTGGCTGCCAGTGTGCATTTCTTGTATATAAATTATGAATGTAAATGTAACGTGTTGTAGGTAAGGAAACGTGGAAGGTAAAATAGTGAAATAATTACATATTTTGGGTGGTTTTGTGTGTATTTGGGCAGTTTTTGAACAGTTTCTGGCCTGGAATCCATCAGCTGGATCTGGCAACACTGGCAGCAGCACAGAACATAACATCAGCTGACCGGAGTCTACTGGAGAGTAGCTCCTGGTAGCTCTCACACTCAGTGTTCCCGGTAAGTTGGTCATTTGTCAGGTCAATTACATGACTTAAATAATAATAAAAATAGCCATCATCGTAGACCATACTTCCTAACCCTCCCATTTTTACTGTCCTCTTCCGGGTCACAGCAGTGTGTTTAATTTTACGGTAGGTGATTGGTGGAGGTTACGCTGCTGACAAACGTGATTGCAGAATTATTTCTTAAACTGTTCTAGCAAACGGTCCTCTCAATTCTCTCTAATTCATTACTTGTAAATATTCTTTAAAATCACTAACAGCACTAATGCTGCCCATTGCTAAATAAGCCACAAAGCTGGCTAATTCCATATTTATCAGTAGAGGAGCGCTAACGTTAATGAGCAGTTCAACTATTTTGTTTAACGTAACATATACCTTACTCTAACCCTAACCTGCAAGCCAAGGCCTGTCTCTCGTTAGAGTCGCTACATCAGAAATGAGAGGGGACATGTAAATAAACACGAGCTGAAGGAGATTTGATATATGGTATTATTATTATTATTATTATTAGTAGTAGTAGTAGTATATTGGTATTTTTTATAGTTTCTGGCCCTTTAATGTTCATTAGTAGTAGTACTCCATAATTTATAACAAATCAGATATTTGTAAAATGTTTTCTGTAGTTTTATACATTTGACTCTTATTTATCAAAAACTTTAATTTGTTGTGCTTTTGTTCAAGTACTACTTTTAACAATCAAAAAAGTTTCTTTTTAAACTGCATTATGTCATCTGTGGTATCTTGGCATAGTCTCAACATGTTCTTACAACAAGGGGGAAAGGAATAATGCCTGATATATCAGCATATCTGATTTTAAAATCCTCAAATATCAAAACCGGCACCAGACTTAAAAATCCCATATTGGTCGGGCTTTAGTTTAAATGTAAATGCTCCGTATTTGCATAGCACCTTTCTAGTCTTTTCGACCACCCAATGCGCTTTTACACTACATCTGCATTCACCATTCACTCACATTCATACACTGAGACTAAGTGCTCAAACAGAAACTAACATTCACTCACATTCATTCACTGAGCCTAAGTGCTCAAACAGAAACTAACATTCACTCACATTCATTCACTGAGCCTAAGTGCTCAAACAGAAACTAATTCAATTTCAATTCAATTCAATTCAATTTTATTTATATAGCGCCAAATCACAACAACAGTTATCTCACAGCGCTTTTCATAAAAGAGCAGGTCTAGACCGTACTCTGTGATGTTATTTACAGAAGCCCAACAGTTCCCACCAAGAGCAGCACTAGGCGACAGAGGCAAGGAAAAACTTCCTTTTAAGAGGCAGAAACCTCGAGCAGAACCATGGCTCAGGGTGGGCGGCCATCTGCCTCGACCGGTTGGGGTGAGAGAGAGAGAGAGAGAGAGAGAGAGAGAGAGAGAGAGAGAGAGAGAGAGGGGCAGCCTATACAATATACACACAGAGGTACAGACACAACTAACATTCACTCACATTCATTCACTGAGCCTAAGTGCTCAAACAGAAACTAACATTCACTCACATTCATTCACTGAGCCTAAGTGCTCAAACAGAAACTAACATTCACTCACATTCATACACTGAGCCTAAGTGCTCAAACAGAAACTAACATTCACTCACATTCATACACTGAGCCTAAGTGCTCAAACAGAAACTAACATTCACTCACATTCATATACTGAGTCTAAGTGCTCAAACAGAAACTAACATTCACTCACATTCATACACTGAGCCTAAGTGCTCAAACAGAAACTAACATTCACTCACATTCATACACTGAGCCTAAGTGCTCAAACAGAAACTAACATTCACTCACATTCATATACTGAGTCTAAGTGCTCGCCCCCAGTTTAGTTTTAACACGTAAACGGTATGAAAATAAGATTAATTGGATTATATTTTTACAAGATGTATAAAACATGTTACATGTGTCCATAAAAAAATGATAAAATGTTAGGGAAATGACATTATTCTTTAACTGTGGTTTGCTGGAAACACATTTAATAACTAATTACTAAAACTAACAATGACTAAACACATTTGAGTACAGGATTATTCTGACTACATACAGATTTAAAATTAAGCATTTTTACTTTAGACATTTTGAGAGACTGAAGTACTGCAGTTGTACATTGAAATACCAAAATAGGGACATGGGAGGGCTTTGTAGCTGCCAGGAATATTCATGCAGACGTGGTCCAGTGTTCCTTTTGTGGGGATTTGGACATGCTGGTGGAATTTAGGTAAACAGTTCTGAGATCTGTTTGATTAAAATCACCAGCAACAATAAAAACACCTTAAGGTTGTTTTGTCACATGACTGCTGATGATCTCAAACAATTCGTGTAATACATTTTTACTTTTTTGCATCTGGAAGAATGTAAACAGCAACAACAACAACACAGAATTCCTTGAACAGATAATATGGCAGACATCCAAACATTAAAATTTCTGGTAAACGTTGTTCATCCTCTTTGACTGCATTTGAGCATCAAGCATCACTGACGTAACACACTCCTCTCCCCCTTGTCTTTCCGGACTACTGAATCCCGTCAGCGCAGAAGACACTCCATCCATCAAGTGTAATAGTACAAGAGTCTGCAATGCAGTACCTCAAGGCTCAAAGACAGTTTCTATCCCCAGGCCATCACACCTAATCAAACAAAGGGTTTAATGCAACTTTGCACACGACCAAACAATTTGTACACCTTGTTTGTCATTTTGCATATAGTATTAATGGTCTGTATTTGTACAGCACCTTTCTAGTCAATTCAGTTCAATTCAAATTAGCTTTACTGGCATGAATGTAACAACAATATTGCCAAAGCATCATACAAACTACATAAGAACAATCAACCCCATACATTTCATTAAACAAGTAATTAAATCGTGTGTGTGTGTGTGTGTGTGTGTGTGTGTGTGTGTTAGAAAAATTTAAATATATTAAAAATTTAAATAAAATAAAAAAATAAAACAGTAACCTTTCTAGTCTTTCCAACCACTCAAAGCTGTGTAGTGTGAAAATGAAAAGAGACTAAGGTGCCTCTGCCACCAGAAAAAGAAGGGGTTCAGTATCTTGCCTGATGACACTTTGACATGCAGCCGGGTATTGACCTTCTGATAAGTGGATGACCAGTCCCACTGAGCCACATCTGCCCTTGTAACACCTCTGTGAGTGGTGGTTGGATATGATAGTGGGTGGGTGTGTATTTGACTTCAAATAAGTTTTTTTCTTTATTTATCCCTTTTCTTTTTTTATTTATTAAACTTAATTAAACTTAACTTAATTAGACTTAAAGTTTCTAGTATATATTATATAGAATAATTAATTCAGGTAGTACAGTGCCCGATGGATCCCTCTATCTATTGAAAATAAAAAATTTGAATTAAAACATGGGAACAAGATACTACCTCGTGGCCATGAGAAAGTGTATATAAAAAGAGCCAGCACAATGGAGCAGCTTTTCTCCCCAAAGCTTGAGGCTGCTCCTAAAGGTTTGGTCTGGACAAAATGGGACTCAGGTTGGCCAAGAAATCAAAATCAGAGACTTCTGTGCCCACATCCTTACAGAGAACTGCTGATCAACATCCTGCTTATCAACATCCTTTTCAAAGCCTTCAGCACAAGAATCCGGGGAGGGACTCTGTTTTACATGGATAACGCTTGTTGTTCAAAAGCTGTCAAGATGGACAAATGTCAGACTTTTTATGGAGGATGATAACCATATTATCATATTGTTGCTGCTGTTTACATTCACCACAGAGCAAATAAAAAAACTGCATGTATAATAACTGTATAATTTTATTTTTATGTCACCTTATTTACCATTTAATTATCTGTTCATTTCTGTGTGTAGACTAGTGTTAATTAGAGTGGGGAGGCGCACAGAAACAGATGTTTCTCTCGCTTGCTCCCTCTCCCTCTCTCTCTCACACTGCTCTACTGGGTGGAAAGGAAATTGAAAAGCAAGCAGGCTAAGACAACAAACTGTGGTGTGGCAATTAGCTTTTGATTTCCGCTTGTTTCAGCACTCTGGACAGCACCATGCCTTTACAAACCTCCTAACCAGCCAGTATTGTATATACACAGAGAAAAATCATAGAGCCATTAAGTTATGTCAATTTACTTCTTCTTTTTAACTCAAATAGCTCTGACAAGTTTTGGATTTTGAACTCAACTGTATGAGTTTTAGAAAGTTAAACTTGCATTAATTCATTGTGTTGACTATTTCACACTTTTGTCGTGTTGATTGAACTTAAGTTATCAGTTGAAAAAAAAGGCACGAGTACGAGGATTGCCTAGGTGCTGCGTCTGATAAAAACATACATAATCAACTAATTATTAGGGTTTAGCGAGTACTCGGTTGAAACAAGTATCCGGTACAGATACTTTTAATGAGTATCATCAGAGTAAAATGTGTCAATATCTGTTTTATTAAAAACTATAAATATAGGAACCTTTTTTATCAATTACTATTGTGATCAAAAACATTGCTCTGAAGCTCAATTCTGAGGCTGTTCTGTAAATAGTTTTCTAATAAATACAGCAAGTTCTGGTAGAAATTTCAGGCTTAAATAACTTAAAGATTAAGCCCCGCCCATTCTCAGTACAGATACAGAAAATTTGTTTAACAGATACAGATAGAGATAGTGGTGCTGATTACTGAATTATATTCCATTATATTTTTATATTTTGAATTGTCACCTTGTACTGGCACCTATTTTTTTCCCACTTCAACCACTGCATATTTGAATATACAGTACATTTTTGTAAGTTCTGTGTGTAGGAGGCTAGGGAAAATGGCCTGAAAATTTGTCCCATATTTGAATATAGTTTTAATTATCTGTTAAGTTCTGTGTGTGGGATGAAGCAGGGTGTGAACTACTCGGGAGCAAGGGGATAGCTTGGCTCCCCTTAATAAGACATGAGCTCCCCTGAAAACATGATTTGTGAAATGGGGAGGCCTCTAAAATATTGACAATATGCTATTTATGCCATTCATTTCTATTTTTCTGTATCATCATGGATCATGTGTCAAATCAGGAGCTTCAGGCCATCTTGCCTGAGGGAATGATCAGCGCACTGGCTCCTCACGACATCCTGTCCCTGTCCACTCCAGCGCCTTGCTCCCTCTCAGGTAGACCTAAATGGGTTGTGTCGTAGTAGGACCACTGCGCTGCAGACATCGGTGATCGTTTCCTCTGCTGTTGAAGCCCAAGGCACCTGATTTTATGATGATCCATGATGATACAGGAAAATAGAAATGAATGCTATTGCAGCTGGAAGCTCTCCACAGTGCTGCGCAACTTTCTAAATTCTTCTCTCTCAAGGAAAAAAGAAAGGTCAGGTCAAAACAGTGTAAAGAGCCAGCTGTTGTGTGAAGCCTAATAGCAGCAAAAGGGCTATAACAATGGAATAAACAATGCCTGATATTATCACATTTAGCACTAGGCCTACATGCTTGCAGCTATGAATGTTTCTTTGCAGCAGGAATCCTGTCTTTAAAGCACGCAGTGTGTGCTATCATCTAAGCTTTGTGCACACGGTTAGGCAAGAGAGCTTTAGTAGTGGCTTGTGCCAGATATGAATAAGCTGGGCAGATGCAAGCGTTTAGAAAATCATGCAAATACCTTTTGAATTTCAGGTTTAGGTGTTCTACTGATGTAACTCAATCCAGGAAACTTAATTTTGGAGATGCAGTGGGGGATAATAAATGAGTGGATACAAAATCATGTCTGGTTTCACCTGTGAAGCACACCTTAGTCTGTATACTTCAATCAACCATAGGCTGCTCCCATGTTATTGCCACAATAATTCTTTGTGTTGTAAAGATTGTTATAGATAATGTGACCGGTTCATGGTTAAACAAAGCCCAAATTATCCTATTGGGGAATAGCTGTACCAATCAGCACACTCGGACAGAAACTTAGTAAATCATATTCAATACATACCTGGGAACCTTTTGCAAGCCCTGGTTTCTCGTTTATGCCTGCTGTCGCTAATTTGCATCATACCTACATCATACCTGAATTTATATCTTTTCTGTGTTCTATAGACAAATTAACAATTTCTACTTAATTTGACATCAACATGAAAGCAAATGAAAACAGAAATATATATTATTTCTTTTTATTGTAAATAAATTCATTCGTCAAGGGGTTAAAGTGATCGTATTGATACCATGTAGAAAAAAATAATTAAATTGTTAAACAAAACTGCAGAGCAGATTGTAGGTCAAATGTGCCCTGTTTTGCTGCTTTTTGATCACACCTTAGCTACCTACCAGAAATGAGAATGTAATTCAATGCATTTCTTTATTTTCTGTGAACTTTAAACAAATTACTAATATCTAATGATAATTAAACCTACGATGTCTGTCCATGTGCTGAAATTTGTCACAATAGATAAGTTTTCACTGCTCTTTCTAAGTTGTGTGTTACATGCAAATAGGGTAAATGGGTTTGGACCCCATAGCAGACACTCAGGCGAGGTAGGCTCAGTTAGAAGAATTTATTAACAGAACAAGGTGTGCAACTTGCTGGTAGTGTCCAAACAAGTCCCACACAGGAACAGTGGCTACGAGGATTCAGAGGACAGAAACAACACACCTGTCAAAGAAGCTGTTTTCAATCGGAGAAAATAAATTCATAGGACCGCCCCTCTGCCAAGCACCTGCCTGCGCAAGAACACGACCAGAGATTACAATGTAAAACACAGTCTTTAGTAAAGTTAATTAAAATACACAGAGTGACACAGTTTAAAATGAGCTGCTATAAAAGGGAGCCTTAATTGTCTCTAAAATGTCCAAAACAAAGGGCCGTTCCTACTCAGTCTGTCCTCTGAATCCTCGTAGCCACTGTTCCTGTGTGGGACTTGTTTGGACACTACCAGCAAGTTGCACACCTTGTTCTGTTAATAAATTCTTCTAACTGAGCCTACCTCGCCTGAGTGTCTGCTATGGGGTCCAAACCCATTTACCCTGCCTGAGCATGTAACGTATTCTGAGAGGAGTACTTTATGATGTTACCTTCTCAATGTATCTCAAAATAGCTACATGACTGCTTTCATATAAAATAAAATCTGTCTAATACAAGCTAATACAATAACATAATCTTTCTTACCTTCATGTATCCATACCTCACTTTTATATTTTAATTTGGTAAAAGACACTAACTCACATTAATCAGTGACACACAGTCTAATTCACTCTCCACCTGTCCAATTCATACAAATTCATAAAAATAGGGTGCAGCATATCACATATCAGGTCATAATTTCTGCTAACTGTCATTAGCTTGTTAGCTCAGTTATCTGTGCAGCTAACTTAGTGATACTATTAGCTAACTGACTACGGAATGGGCGCCAGAACTGGAGCCGGTGGAGCAGGCAACGGAACAGAGCTCAGCAGCTTCCCAGTGATCACCTGGGCGGCATTTGTTACAAATCAAAGTAAAATAATAATAAGCACATTGATAACCCAGCAGTAGACCATCATCAGACATTAGAGAGTTCCAAGGACAAAAACAGAGTTTTGAAAAGTGGGTGGGACATGTCTCCCTGTCCATAGAGGATGTCAAGCCCAAGCACTGCCTGAATGAAAGGGCAGCATATTCGCTTTTTCAGAAAATGGGCAATTCTTATCTAGTGCTGAGACACCTGGCACCTGCTGCCTATCCCTGCCTATTCCTATCAAACATGTTCCAAATCTGTGAACAGTGACTTCACCTAAGAAACCTAGCAGGGATCACTGTGATTATGGTCTTTACAGCCATTCTTACCTGGTAGGGGACTGTGGTGTTGGGTAGGTCCACACTAGCAATGAGCCAGCTGTCAGAGGCTTTGTTGGCATTCCACAGTTGGTGGTCGAAGTTATCACCGTCTGGTCTGAGGTGGAGCTTCAAGGAACCCCGTCCAGTGATCTGGTACACCAGCCTCACACAGCTCCAGTCCTGCTGGTCCAGAACTGGACTGACAAGAACTGCCTGCTCCTGGTCATGTAAGAAGGCTGAGTCCACTGTAATCAAATGCCCTATGACAACAAAATGACGATATAAAATTCATGTAAAGAACATATGAATATTATACAGCCTGATAGCTTTGATCAAAAGATAACTAAAGGTGATTTTATTCATAATGTGTTCATTTCAAGAGAATTCAGCTATTGTTTCAGCTAGCCAGTTATCTCGAGTTCATTAATAAGATGAACGCTACTTTTGCTGGAAATGCCCATTCCTAAAGTTCTGGGCATCACCATTGGAGTAGCCCTGACTCTGCCAAATCAGAGTAGAATTATAATTAAGACGCAATGTTTTGACAGCTAAAAAAGGCTAAACTTTCTGAAAACAGTGTGACATTTAACACAAACAACAAGCAATGCCAGTTTAGCTTTTCCCAAGATTTAGACGCAAAAGACGCTGGTGATGGACTCTCTTACTGGAATGAGGTTCGACTCGCTGCGGTGTCCTGCTTTATTTTTGTGGCTAATCCTACAGTACACTTATAAAATCAATACACCAATCTGGTGCAGAGCTGGGGCTTTAATTCCTGTTTGGCGACAATACTACCTCTTTTGGGTTTTGGTTAGCTCCAGTCCATGGCCAAGACATCACAGGAGAAGTTCAAATGCAATATGCCTCTTAGAATGTCACCATGCCTTATACACACTGTGATTACGAGTGGTCCTTCAATTACCATATGAAGTTTGAGGCTGATTAACCAAAGCATAAGAGAGTAATTCCCACTTCCTGTTTGGGATTGCTTTAAGCAAATGCCATCATACCTGGTAACATTGGGATTTGAAAATAAGGGAAATAATAAGGGAACAACTTACTATATAGTTATTATCTTCATTATAATTACATATGTAGTTTAACATTAATCCACTATATTAATTCCAGTTACAGCTGTTTAATTTTTCTGGGTTGTTTTTATTAATTAAATCCTTGCGCAAGAAGCACAGTCTACATTGGTCTCTAATTTATTATGTCTTAACTCTCACATTGTAAATAATTTTTTCGGTTCCCACGTATCTATTTTTGGGGCAATATGTGAGTGAAATACTCTGTAGAGCAATGCATCATCCAACCTGAACAAACATAGCAAACATTGCAAATATGCCCAGCTGGTCTTGAAAGTCATATATATTGTCCTGGGCCAGTGTATCCTTTGCCTCATGCGTCTTGCAATCCTCTGTCCCCAGAGGTAGCAAATCAGGAATAAATGATCAAATGCACAAGCATTTTTTTTAGAAAGGTTAAAAATACGGGAGTTGTACGGGAAAATGTTAAAACATGATGACAACGACATAGAACGTTAAAATACAGGAGAATCCCGGGAAAAACTGGAGGGTTGAAAGGTATGCCGGCCATGTCAGCTGCTGTAATAAACACGTCCATCTATTGAGTGAGCTGTAAGAAATTGATTGGCTTGCATAAATGAAACAAACTGACGTAGGCCTATGGAAATTTCTTTCAGCTTCATATCAGTGAAGCCTGTAGATGATCCTGACCACGTTTTGGGTCAGGTGGCCCAAAGGTTTCTGACAAAATGTCGAAAATATGATTTTTAGAAAACTGTTTTTAGAAATGGCAAAATGTGCCCAGATGACTTCAGGGAATATAATGATGAAGAATGTTGACCGTAAGTCAAGCTGTTTGAGATAATTGCGGAAACAAAAGGTGACTGAGGTCTTGCAGTTTTTGCTGCATAAACAATTTCAGCATAGAAAACTAAGACAACATTTTCACGGGCCACTTGAAAACACACTGAATTAATGAACTGCCACTTTGTTGGCACGTAGGCCGCCTGGTGATTTGAACCCCAGACCTTTGTATGCCCAAAGAAGGTGACTTACTGACAGAGCCCTTGGGGAGATGTAGTTTCCATACATCTTCTCACAAATTAAGGCAATGACATCACGTCAGACTAGGGTAGTTTGTCTGTTTATATTGAAAATGCTTGGTGATAAAATTCACAAAAAACTCATCATTCTGCTGGTTTCAGGTCTATTTTTCTTGTTTGAACAATGAGCAAAGCTGGTTTCTCTGACTCAGTCCAAGATAAGAAGAACCCTAACAGTTTACCTCCTCAGTCCCTCTCTTCAGCCACACTCTCATCCCTGGCCCTCAGACTTTCCCTCCTTTCACCATCACCTGACTGCCCCACCCATCTACACATATTTTCCCACTTCTCTCATCGGCCCTGCAGTTACCTGGCCTACTCTGCTCACTCTTCACCTGCAACTCATTCCCTCATCAGCCACTCACCATAAATCCAGTTCACTTCCTTTTTTTCTTGGCCAGTGTTGCTATGTAACATTATGTAAGTTTTTTTCTATGCAGTTTGGCACCTCTACTGTTTCGGTTTTAATTAGGGCCCGAGCAGGAACCGTGCAAGGTCCCTATTGAAACCCTATTGAAACTGAAGGGATTATTAGAGTGTTTTTAATTCACCGCTGTTGTAAATAAGGACAGCTGTACAGGTGCATCTGTTATGATTACATAACAAAAAGCAGCAGAGGGCTTTTTCACAAAAGCAGAATTTAGAATCCAGGATAAGAGAAAAAGCGATCAGATAAATGCACGTCAACAGCTTTCTTCCAGAGACCACACGGTTGATCACAGATTTATTGATGCTGAAAAATGAAAAGATGTGTGCAGCATTCTTTACACAAAGTGAGTAACGGCGAATAAAGAAGGTTTACAATGAAAAATTGCACATAATATAAAAAAAAAATTAACACGGCCGCAACATTGAAACAGCGAGAAAAAGCGTCACAGACAATTGAGGACTGACTTTTGCTCCACAAAAGCCATTATTAAACATGTAGCTCTCTTTTTTCTTTACCTCGCTACCATCTGCTTACAAATTTCCTGTCTTCCACCTGAAATCCACTGGACCGCAAGCTCACAGTGGAGAGAGAGAGACAGAGAGAGAGAGAGAGGGAGTGAGTTGTGGGGCAGATCCGTTGCAAAGCACTAGAAACTGTAATGAAAAGAATAGAAGTTGTGAACACTTGTCATAATTCGGGAGAAATGTTTCCCGGGGGAAACCGTGAGAGGACAATGAAATACAGGAATCTCCTGTGAAAATCGGGTATGAGCGAACTGGAGCTAACCTCTGTGGCTCCTTGGTTACTTCTGTACGACAGCGTGCTGTATGTGACAGCTTTGCATATGTTTATCACTTGCTGGCAATGTTATGAATTAAAAAAGAGAGATTTTCAGACGTAAATTCATCGTGACTGAAACCCTAAGACAGAGTTTCCATCTGCACTTTATGTCACAGCTGAGGTCTGAGAGAGCAGAGAGGACATTTAGTGGATATAAACAGTGTTTATGGAGAACTGGTTGCTGGTGCCCTCAGTTCTAAATCAGGTTGGGGGGGGGGCAGTCAAATTTACAGCTGTATCTATGATCCCTTATTGGTCAATCAGTCCATTGAGAATCTACCTAGCAGCAGAAGGCAGCGATTTGCTCAAACAGTGCGCCATAGAGGAGCAGATAGGCCATAGTCCATAATGTCTCAATGTATGCAGAAAAGACAATATACGCCTGCAGTTGCATTGAACAACAGAGCAATAAAGAGGGTGTGAATAAGGCTGTGAAAGATATGAACCTGATCATTTATGAGGCAACTACTGAGGCTGACCTGAAAAAAAAAATAGAACACCAAAAGAAACAAAAACAAATGAGAAATGAGTGAGTGAACCTGAGTGAAAAACCATCAGACAAAACTATAAAACACTTTAAGAAGAAAAACAAAACTACACTTACCAACACTAGACGATATTGAAAACTATTAAATCAATTCTGGGACATGTGGAACAAATTAAGCACAAGCAAACCACATGCAGCCCCCATTCAGGAAGGTTCCTGAGTGAAATGACCCGGAAATATTTAGGTAGCAGCCATGATAATTCTCTTAAGCTTAGGAAAGGTGCTTCAGTGCTTCCTTTCTTATTCCCTTTAGCATAGGATACACTGGACCATCCTTTACGAAAGGAAAGGAGATTATGCCGTCCCACAATTCCTTGCGGTAGCAACATATAAAACAACCACATTTTTCAAATCCTTGCAAAATATGAGCAATGCCTGCAAACTTTTTTTCTTTATTGGACTCATTTATGATATTTAAATAAGGCACTCACAATTTCCTTGTTTCTTTGGGTTTGTTTTCTTTTGGCTTTGCTGTAATTTATACTGTTTTAACACTACTTTTTGGGTTGTTTTAATATGGCATAAAGTTTTGTATTTGAATTTGCTACAATAAAAAAAAAAACTCTACTACCACTACCATGGCAATTAAGCCTTTCTCTTATGCCATAACATGCCATATGCATATGTTTTGAACAGTCAACAATAACTGAAACCCATGTTTGTTACTAGTCTTTCAAGTGAGGATAATGTTGAAATGTGTCGGTTTT